CCAGACATTGTAGAATATTTAGGAATTTGTATTGCAACAACATAGTTTCACTAAGCCTCCCCCGGGTGTGTGATGTTTTCTTTTTCTTAACCTCAAGGTGCATAGTCTGTCTCCTTTTGTTTCCGTGAAGCCGATGCCCCACTGCTCATCACCACAGGCAGGGCAACTCACTTCAGAGCTCCGTTCCCGTTCCCAAGGGCACCTACCTACCCTGTTGGTATTATGCGGCACCTTGCCCGCGACAACTAGGTCACCTTCAAGAGACCAGTTTCTCCTTGCAATTAAATAATTTCACAAGCACAGGAACCCTTGGGAAGCAGTGTTGCAGATCTCATAGAGCCTCGCCTCAAAGCATGTCGTGCCTTCAACCACACAGCCTGCAGAGAACAACAGCTTCTTCGTCCATTTGCATTTTCTTCATTAGTGAACCTCTTACGTTCTTGTTTACATTCAGTTTTCATTTGCCAGGTTCTCTCCTCTTTTGTCCATTGCCTTTTTAGAATTTATGGCTGGAAAGGGAAACAGTCTCTGGGCGTAACTTAGTAAGGTCTATTTTTTTTTTTTTTTAATTTTAATGTTTATTTATTTTTGAGAGAGAGAGACAGAGCATGAGTTGGGGAGGGAGACACAGACTCCGAAGCAGGCTCCAGGCTCTGAGCCATCAGCACAGAGCCCGACACGGGGTTTGAACTCAGGAACCGCAAGATCATGACCTGAGCCGAACTCGGTCGCTTAACCGACGAAGCCACCCCGTCGCCCCTAATAAGGTCTATTAAACATTCTTCTCTGAATTTAAATTCCTGGGTCATTTTACTCAAACATTGGTAGACCCTTATTTTCTTGGATTCGTCAGTGTTTCAGATTAGAAGGTGCCAGCAAACCCCAGAGAACATCACCTTACCTGTGACAGAAGGTTACTTTCATCCACAATGAAGTGTGGAGAGAAGGGGTGTGGAGATAAGAAACAGTCTAGGACTGGAGTGGAGCTTCCTCAGTCATCCAGGACTTTCTGCCCCTCTGTCCTTCTGTGAAGTTAACATTATCATCAAAATGATTCTACCCCAACAGTACCACATAGCTATTGGGGAGCTACCGGAATCCTGCCTACATGGTCACCAACAGGAAGGACACAGAGGTCACACGAAGTCTCTCATTTGACTTCCCGCCAATGCTTACTCTACAATGTTTCATGAACAATTAGACCTTTAAAGAAATTTATATTCGTTTTATTCTCACGTACTCTGCGTAAAGGTTACTTCTCTCGCCCAGGTTTTTCTTGGCGAGATATTCAAGAGACATCAACTTGATATATATTTAAAAAAAAAAAAAAAAGGTGGAGAAGCATTTATACCTTTTCTGAATTATCATGACAAAGACCAAAGGGAATCCACTCATAACATACCAGAGAACTTCTCGAAATGTCGTTTCCCAATTTTCTTGAAACCTCACGCGCACACAACAGTTTAACTTCCCACAACTCCCTGGCTGACATCCCCGCTCACCTCCTTATGTCTTCTACTAATCACTGTCAGCCCATTCTTTTGTGGAGCAAGCTAGCCAGTCAGTACAACTTCTGCACTTGACCTGTTAGCCCCGTTTTCCAGAAAACAATCTGGATTCGATCAAACTGTCCTTAACATCCAAAGGTCTAGAAGGGTTTCTGGATTCTCATTAATTTTTCTAAGCTCAGATGCTCATAATAAAACATGCAGTCCTGTATTCCCTTTTATGTAATCCTAAAATTCAAAAGCTTTGAAAACAAAGTTCTCTTCTAATTTATTTGACAGGAAAATTGGACCTAAACTTTGTGAGGTTGTTTGTAATCTCTATATATCTCACTTAGTGTAAATATTTTTACATTGCATAGAGAAATATTAGTAAAACAGTATTCTAAATAACATAGTGCCTTTCTGAAGCCCTAATATGCATCTGAAATAAACCATTGAGATGAAGAATTACTTGCAATTATTTCCTGTAACAATGCTCTATTTTCTTAGGTATTTAGGAATTTCTCATTTAGGAATAAACAAATTCCTAATTTTAGGAGGAAACAAAATTTTGTTTTTTTTTAATTTTTTTTAATGTTTATTTTTGAGACAGAGACAGAGCATGAACAGGGGAGGGGCAGAAAGAGAGGGAGACACAGAATCTGAAACAGGCTCCAGGCTCTGAGCTGTCAGCACAGAGCCCAACGTGGGGCTCGAACCCACAAACTGTGAGATCATGACCTGAGCCGAAGTCAGACGCTTAACTGACTGAGCCACCCAGGTGCCCCAATTTTCTGTTTTTTTTTTAAATCATTTATTGTACAAACAATATATACAGTAGGTACTGGGGAACTTGTATTCCTCAAGAAGTAGAATATGTAGTGTGTTAAGAAAAATTACTCAAAGCTTAACAAAAGAGACAAAAAGAAATCACTGGAGAAATTTTTCAGTAGGTGACTGAATATTGTTTTGTAGACTCTCTCAGGGATTATCAATTTCAGAGGAGTGCAAAATTTTGATTGTCAATCAGTCTTTTTACACCTCTATAAGATTAGAGCTTAATTTGGAATGCAAATGAGGGGCGCCTGGGTGGCGCAGTCGGTTAAGCGTCCGACTTCAGCCAGGTCACGATCTCGCGGTCCGTGAGTTCGAGCCCGAGCCCCGCGTCGGGCTCTGTGCTGACAGCTCAGAGCCTGGAGCCTATTTCCGATTCTGTGTCTCCCTCTCTCTCTGCCCCTCGCCCGTTCATGCTCTGTCTCTCTCTGTCCCAAAAAATAAATAAACGTTGGAATGCAAATGATTCTTTTTCTGAAAACAATGCAAAGGATTCTGATAACAAAGCAAATGAATTTTGTCCAGAAGACAGATTCAATTAATTTCCGGGAGTTAGAAAAGCTGATTCCAAATATTACAGGGTGTTGCCATGTATGATATTAGTCAGTTTTACATCGATTAGAAGTCACTTCAGAAGGCCTTTGACTGAACACATAAATCTCTGTTCCTCAAATTCTTCTTTGAATTAGCTGTAGCCTCTTAATGGTTCTCTCATTAATTCGTGAGCAAAATCTTTGACACATACTCATGTTATACTTAATATGAATATCATGTTATTTACTCTTTCAAGAATTATACTTCACTTTTTTAAAGTGTATTTACTTTGAGAGGGTGAGAGAGCGAGCAAGCGTGCGGGGGGGGGGGACAGAGAGAGAGGGAGAGAGAGAACCCCAAGCAGGCTTCTGGCTGTCATTGCAGAACTCAGTGTAGGGCTCTGTCTCAGGAACCATGAGATCAAGACCCGAGCCAAAATCAGGAGTCAGATGCTTAACTGACTGAGCCACCCGGGGCACCCCTGAGAATTATACTGTAAAATGTATTTGCACTAGGGGTGCCCCAGGTGGCTCAGTCAGTTAAGTGTCAGACTCGATCTCAGCTTAAGTCTTGATCTCAGGGTTGTGAATTCAAGCCCCACGTTGGGCTCCATGCTGGCTGTGGAGTCTACTTTAAAAACACACAAAAAAGAGGGGCGCCTGGGTGGCTCAGTCGGTTGGGCATCTGACTTCGGCTCAGGTCACGATCTCGCAGTCCGTGAATTCGAGCCCCGCATCAGGCTCTGTGCTGACAGCTCAGAGCCTGGAGCCTGTTTCAGATTCTGTGTCTCCCTCTCTCTCTGACCCTCCCCCATTCATGCTCTGTCTCTCTCTGTCTCAAAAATAAATAAACGTAAAAAAAAAAAATTAAAAAAAAAGACAAAAAATAGAGAGTACTTGCCCTATAGGAATTCACATATTATTTGAGTGAAAATAAGATATGGAGAAATCATAAGGGTAATATACAGTAAATGATACATTATCAGTATGGATTTGAGGGGCTGTGGTACAGTTTCTGTATGACTATGTTCTTTTTATTTGTACTGCATTGCTCAGATTTACTTAGCAGACAGTTCTGCTTTGCATTATGGAGTGCCAAGAAAGGACGTAGAAATACACTAGGCACAATCTTTGTCCTAGAGTTGTTAACAGTCTCGTGTGGGAGAACACATGAACAAATCATCATAAAGTAATGACAACGGATGGAGAAGAGAAGAACATTTATGACCTTACTCTGTCCAGGGGCCCCTGGGTGGCTCAGTCAGTTAAGCGTCCAACTCTTGATTTTGTCTCGGGTCCTGATCTCATAGTTGGTGGGATCAAGCCCCACATCAGGCTCTGTGCTGAGAGCACAGAGCCTGCTTGGGATTCTCTCTCCCTCTCTCTCTGGCCCTCCTACTCTCACGCTCTCTCTCAAAATAAATAAAAAAAACATCCCCCAAAACCCCCAAAAAAGACGTTACTGTGTCCTTATGCTTTATATTTATTATGATGCTTTATATTATTTCATTAAAACCTAAACATTTGGAGGAATTTTACCCCCAATTTTATCATTGGAGCACGGACAACCAGTTAATTGCTATAATTAAATAAATACGAATAAATGTATGAATAAATGAATAAAAGGAGAGGCCAAAAACAATTCTACATGTTTTAATTCCCGAGACCAAAGCTTTTCCCTTATTTCCCTTGGAAAATCATTTGGTTGACTCTGGACTCAGGCTAAATCCTGCCTCCCAAAGACCCACAGGATGGAAACCCTGGCACAGGCCTGGCAAATGAGGACAAAGCGTCCCCGCAGGACTGGAGTTTTTCTCAGGTTTGGAAGTAACTGGGATCAGCTCCTTGCTGGGAGCCATAGATCCGGAAGGTCAGAGGAAGGTAAGGTTAGTTTCACTCCTTGAGCTTTCTCGTCTTCAGCCTTCGGTGCTGTTGGGGCACCTGGTATTTGAGAGAGGTGGCACTCAGGGTTGGGTCTCACTTGGCAAAGCACCAGAGATTGGTCCCCCCCACACCTGCCCGCAACGCTGGAGAGAGTCACAGAAGCTGGATGGTAAACACGAGCAAATATTGACAGAACTGAGAGTCAGGGTAACACCATCTGGCCCGTCTGCAGTTCAAAGGGCCTGGTCAACTGGGTTTGCATGACACAACCAGGCAGTTTCTAAAACTGAATTGTAAAACGGGCGGCTCATCAGCCGCCCCTTTGTGTTTTTGCAAAATCGCTCCCTGTACTAACTTCCTCACAGCTGTTCTTATTTCCTTTGGTAGAATTTTTTTTTTTTCATTCTTCCTAGGGAAGAGAAATCAATACAACATCTCCAGGAGGGAGGTGGTTGGTATCTCCTACTTTGATCCAAACCACGTGTTGTCTGTGTTGGGTTAATTCCAGCCTGGGTCAAGCAACTGATCGCAAGATGTTTTTGCGGGTTGTGTGCTATCTTGTGGTTGTGTGGCCGATTTCTGCCTCATACGGTGCGTATGCTTAAGATTAGTTTCTAGGGTACTTGATATCAGCCTGCGGGGTACCAAGCATGCTGTCTATGGTTTTAATGAAATTTAAGTCAATGAAATGTATTTCCTTTATTGAAAAATGTCAAATGACTTGGCCTAATGCCCTGTAGTCAGTAGGGGCTTAGTAAATATTTAATGATAATTCTGCTCTATGAAGTGGGTGGTTAACTGTACCAATTTGGTACCAAAAAGTACCAATTTCAAAATCTCGAGAGGTCTTGTCTGTTATAAACTCCAGAAATGCTATTTGGAAAGGGAATTGTATCTTCATGGTTGAATTGAATGTAATGCCCGTTATCCTTTTGAAAACAAAACTTTGGGAATTCTTGGGAAGGGGGGGATAGGGATGTACATGGACATGGAATTGTACAAGGAAGGAGAATCAATAATCCAGGAAAAGGACACTCGGATGGCTGTCTAACGGGGCCTCGTCACAGCACGTGATAACGCCAAGTGAATCTGTTTTCTTTTTCCTTCCAACAGAGAACTGTCCAGAACTCCCCCCAGTGGGATATAGCATATTTGTTGCAACGAAGGTCGAGGGACAAATTCTGGGGACTTACTTTTGTATCAAGGGCTACCACCTGGTAGGAGAGAAAACCTTTATTTGCAATGCCTCTGGGGAGTGGAATAATCCCACTCCCACATGCCAATGTGAGTTGAAATTTTGTTTCTTTGTGTATCTTGTCATCTCGCTCTGCTCTTACACATCCTACCTCCCGCAGGCCGCCTTAAAACTTTCTAAGACAAAAATTCTCAACTTCTGGGAATTAATTTTTAAAGCACCCCAGGGTGGAACTTCTCTTACAAGGTACATGGTCAGCTCTTGCTCAGTGTTGATTTAATTAGTTGATTAATAGAATTAATAGACTCAATCACCCCTGCAGGGAGGGAAGAATTTCTACCATATATTAAAAATGCCTTTTGGGGGGGGGTTCTAATATAATATCATACTCCTTTAAAATTTTTATGTTATAGAAATCTATTTATAGAATTTCTATAACATAAAAATTGTAAATATATACAAAAGACAAAAAAGCAAAATCAGGTCATATGCACTCATCACTGAGCTTCAACAATTGTCAACATGTAACTAATCTTTTTTTCTCAACGATTCTGTTTTGCATGGTTATTATTTTGAAGTAAATATGTCATATTTTATTTCATCCATTATATGACTTTTGAACTGGGAAACATTTATATTCTCAATTTACAGATGTGAGAACTGAGATCCAAGTGATTTGCTCAAATTCACAAAACTCACTTGTGGTGTCTGTAGAGACATTGAATAACTGGTCAATATCCTCATTATTATTAGTATTTTTAGGAATAGTTGGCTTTGTTCTCCTTGATACCTAGAGTAAAGCACATGTTTATCCTGTATTTATACCAGCAAGTTCATCTTCTCTCCTGTTTTTTTCACAGAGGGGTAGGGGGGTGGGGGGGGGAAGCAAAATGAAACAAAGTACAAACTGATGAGTGATGTGTCTATTCATGGAGGAAAGGGAGGGAAAAACTTGCCTCCAGCATAGGGTGAAGTATTTTCAGCAACGCTTACCAGGATGATGAACATGCCATTGATCATTTCTAGTTATGTGCTTAGTTACTTTTCGTAAGTTCAAGTGCCAACTGTCACTCTTGTGCATGACCAAGACCTTTCCTACCACACTTAGGCCAACCTAGTCCCTTCGTGTCCTGACTGATACGGTTTGGTCCCATGTAGGAGTCCCTGTTATAAAGTACAGTTTTAGTTCTGATTTCTATTCTCTCATTGAAGTCTGAGGAGGTCTAGCCTCCGCAGTGGCGGACTTTCTCCTGCTCTTTCTGATCACTTCCTGTTTTCTTCTTCAGTGGGCCACTGTCCTGACCCTGTGCTGGTGAATGGTGAACCCAGTTTCTCAGGTCCTGTGAATGTGAGTGACAAAGTCACTTTTAAGTGCAATGAGAACTATATCCTCCAGGGCAGCAACTGGAGTCAGTGCATGAACGACCACACCTGGATGCCTCCCTTACCCATCTGCAAAAGCAGTAAGTGTCAGAGAAACAAGCACCAACCCAAAGACACTGACCAGAGGGACACCCTAGGCATTTGTCACATCCCTGCAATGTTTTCCTCTTATTTTATTTTATTTTTTTGTATCTGGGAAGGGTCTGGGATCTCGGAAGAAGCCAGAAAACAAATGGAGCTCACAGAGCCAAAACTCACCTCAAATGATACATTCCAGTGAAACAAACAGCATCCAAACAATGAACACTTTATTTCCCCTCTCAAGTAGGATTCCTTTCCTACTAAGTCCAACACAGGATAGTTTGGGGCATCTGACTTTTTTGTTCGTTTGTTTGTTTCATGATAACGCCTTACAGTTCTTATTTGAAAAATACATGAAAACGGGAAGAGGACCGTATCTCATCCATTGCAAAATTATATAAAATAAGAGTTGAGGGGCGCCTGTGGCTTAGTGGGTTAAGTGTCTGACTTTGGCTCAGGTGTTGATCTCGCGGTTCATGAGTTTGAGCCCCGCTTTGGGCTCTGTGCTGACAGCTCAGAGCCTGGAGCCTGCTTTGGACTCGGGGTCTCCCTCTCTCTCTGCCACTCCCCCTGCTCACACACTGTCTCTGTCTCTCAAAAAAAAAAAAAAAAAAAAAAGTACCTCCTCCTTCTAACGTATATTAGAAGTATCTCCTTCTAACATGGTAATTCACACTTCTCAGAGGAAATTAGTAGGAATGTGTTTGCTTCATGTCTTTTCCTATGTTTATGCAGACATTTAAAATAAACAAATGCACACACACATATCTACACACATATACACTTACAAAAATGGGACTTTGTGCTATGTATTGTTTAAATTTTTTTTTTTATGTAACATTATACATGGGAATCTTTTTCGATCAGTATATGTGGCTGTATCTCCTGCTTTTATTTATTTATTTGTTTTTCCTATCTCCTGCTTTTAAAAAATAATGTGGATACACCATCAGTTATTCCATATCTCTAGTATTGATGAACGTTTGTTCTATTTCTGTATTTTTGCTATTACAAACAATGCTGAAACGAATGTTATGTATGCATACATATACATATATCTTTATGTCTATGCTATTATTTCTGTAGGATAGATTCCTAGAATGATTGGTAAGTCACAGGATATACTTATTTGTAAAACATACTTAAAAGATCCAAGAAATCCTACTAAAAAACTTCATTCTTGGACACAAAATAAATATTGAAAAATCAATAGTATTACTTTCTAATAATTATGATGTGACTATTGAAATGTAAAAATAATTCCATTCATGAGACCTATATGAAAATTTACTGAAGGACATGGAATAAGACTTAAATAAAAGATATACCATGGTCCTGCATGGACAGACTGGTATTGCAATGGAATTCTACCCAGAGTTTCTTTTTTTTTTTATTTTCTTTTTTAACGTTTACTTATTTTTGAGACAGAGAGAGACAGAGCATGAACGGGGGAGGGTCAGAGAGAGGGAGACACAGAATCTGAAACAGACTCCAGGCTCTGAGCTGTCAGCACAGAGCCCGACGCAGGGCTCGAACTCACGGACCGCGAGATCACGACCTGAGCCGAAGTCGGCCGCTTAACCAACTGAGCCACCCAGGCGCCCCAAGAGTTTCAAATTTAAAGGTATAAAACAAAAAATTGAGTTTGGAATCTCCTTTGGGAGGGTACATATCTAACACTACAGATTTATTTATTTAAAGACTTAATTTTTTTCAGACTTAGTTTTTTAGAGCAGTTTTAGATTCATAATAAAACCGAGGGGAAGGTATAGAGATTTCCCATACACTCCCTAACCCCGCATATGCACAGCCTCCTACATTGTCAACATCATTCACCAGATTAGTACTATTTTTTGTTGTTGTTGTTACCAAGGATGAACCAATGTTAATACATCACATTCCCCCCAAATCCATAGTTACCTAAGGATTCACTCTTGGTGTTTTACATTCAGTGGGTTCGGACATGTGTGTAATGATGTATATCTATCATTACAATATCATACAGAGTCTTTTCACTGCTCTAAAAATCCTCTGTGCTCTATTTATTGGTCTCTCTACTTCCCCCGTCCATCTCAGCCATTGATCTTTTTATTGTTTCCATAGTTTTTCCTTCTCCAGAATGTCATATATTTGGAATCATATAGTATGTAGCCTCTTCAGACTGCCTTTTTTTCTACCTAGAAATATACATTTAAGGTTCCTCCATGTCTTTTCATAGCTTGACAGCTAATTCTCTTTTATCGTTGAATAATATCCCGTTTCTGGATGTACCATAAGTTTATCGATCCGATCACCTCCTGAAGGACATCTTGCTTGCTTCCAAGTTTTGACACTTATGAGGAAAGCTGCTATAGATATCGGGTGCAGGTTTTTGTGTGGATGTAAGTTTTCAACTCCTTTGGATAAATACCGAAGAGGGCGATTGTTGGCTCTTATGGGAAGAGTAGATTTAGTTTTTTTCTAAGAAACCATCAAACTGTCTTGCAAAGTGGCTGTATCATTTTGCATTCCCACCAGCAACGTAGGAGAGGCCTTGTGGTTCCACATCCTTGTCAGCATTTGGTGTTGTCAGTGTTCCAGACTGGCCACTCTAATGGTTGTATAATGGTATCTCCTTGTTTCAATTTGCATTTCCGGATGACAAATGATGTCAAGCATCTTGTCATATGCTGATTTTCCATGTGTATATGTTCTTTGATGAGGTGTCTGTTAAGGTTTGGGGCCCATTTTTTATTTATTTTTATTTTTATTATTTTAATTTAATTTAATTTTAATTTTTTTAAATGTTTTTATTTATTTTTGAGACAGAGAGAGACAGAGCATGAACTGGGGAGAGGCAGAGAGAGAGGGAGACACAGAATCCGAAGCAGGCTCCAGGCTCTGAGCTGTCAGCACGGAGCCCGATGCGGGGCTCAAACTCACGAACCGTGAGATCGTGACCTGAGCCGAAGTCGGACGCTTAACTGACTGAGCCACCCAGGAGCCCCTATTTTTTTTTTAAATTTAAATCCAAGTCGGTTAACACATAGTGTAATAATGATTTCAGGAATACAATTTAGTAATTCATCACTTACATTTAACACCCATTGCTCACACCAGCAAGTGCCCTCCTTAATGCTCATCACCCATTTACCCATCCCTCTACCTAACATCCCTCCAGCAACCCTCAGTTTGTTCTCTGTATTTAAGAATCTCATGGTTTGTCTCTCTCATGTTTTTATCTCATTTTTGCTTCCCTTCCCCTAGGTTTATGGCAAATTTTAAGGCTAGACAATTCCAAGATTAGCCCCCAAACAGCATTTATATTCCTCAAATTTATGGAAAGATAATGAATATAACTAATAATTCCAGAAATGAATAGTAAAATTAGATACACATGTTTTACTGATCAAATTAGCAAATAAAAAAAATGATTTCACCTAACATCGTTCATGATATGAGGGGCTAGTCACTGATGTCAGTGAGGAAAAGAGATATCATTCTGTAGATATATTTTGGCAGTAGCTATTAAAATAATAGGCAGCTTTTTGTTATTTTTAATTTTTTAAGTTATTTTATTATAGAGAAAGAGAGAGAGCGTGAGTGGAGGAGAGGGGCAGAGGGAGAGAGAAAGAGAATCCTAAGAAGGCTCCATGCTCAGCACAGAGACTGATGCAGGGCTCGATCCCATGACCCTGGGATTATGACCGGGGCTGAAATCAAGAGATGCTCAACCGACTGAGCCACTCAGGTGTCCCAATAAGCAGTTTAAAAGCACAAACTATATGTAGCCTCTCTCAAGGAGTTAGGGGTTACTTGAAACATACATATATACTGTAGGCAGTTAAATTACAAGCATATAACATCATTATTATTAGCCTGACACAGGTTTAAAGAATTTATTTCTTTTAATCTCTTTTAATTCAGTATTTCCCATTCTAGCTCTGAAATGCAGGATCTCTGTCTTTTTGTGTTAGTTCATTGCCCAATTCTAAAGAAAGCTCCTTAGGTCCCCGAGTAAAGCAGATTCTTTTCTGCTTAGGCCCAAGATCCATATTATCTCTTTCAGTTGAAAACTGTACTCTTAAAAGTTACCAGGAGAGCCCTGTCTGTACTGGGGTTCCTTAATCAACTCATGGAAATCCTTTTTCCTTTCCTCTATACAGCTTTTGAACTCAGTTTTTGATCTTCTAAAAATTATTTATTAACTTCTCAAAGAAAACATCTGTGGTGTAGAAAAATTCAGAAAATAAAACATTTAATAACCTACAAACCTACTACCCAGAAGTAACAGAGTACTTTGATATATAATTTTCAGGCTTTTTTTCTGTTCATATACGTTGATGCATGAGTGTATTTTACAAAAATAGCGTTTTATGCTATTATTATAATTACATTTCCATTTGTATGTATTATTATAATACATAGTATCACATACTATGTACTATACTAACACATACTCTTTTATGCTTTGCTGTTTTTACTCAACTATTTGGTTTGAAGGCATTTATGTTTCCATAAATATATACCTACGTAATTATTCTTCATTCACCCTTTAACCTTGATCATCATGTTTAGATGTATATAATCTCAGAGCTCAAAGGGACTTAAGAAATAATTCTGTTTAACCTGCTCATCTCATAGGTTAGGAGGGAAACCGAGAAGGATAAAATCATGGGTCGTGGAAGAGGCAGAACCCAAAATTCACAACATCTCGTACTTTGTCCAACTCTCTTTCCACAATTTTATAGACTCATCTTTCCTCCCAGTTGTATCCTGCGTTTCTGAAGCTCTCGTGTTGCACACTTCTGTCCCACAGAGAACGTCAGCCTCCATTTGAACGCCCACCATTTATCTCCTCTCTTAGGGAGTTGCTACTCCCACCTCTACCTCTGGTTTAATTTTTCTTTTCTTGTACCCTGACGATCTCTACAATTTAAACTTCCTTTCCTCAAAACTCATGCCAATCAGAAAGCACTCCCCCATTCCCAATCACTCAGCGGATGAGCAGGAGAAGGCAGTCTCTCCCAGGATAAACATGATTCTGACCAGAAGGAAGTGAATGGAGAAGGTGCCCTAAGATCCCACATAGACAGCTAAACTTAGGGGGTGCTGTTAACTGAGCGTAACTCATGACCGTCATTCCTGTTCTCCTGTTTCTCAGGAGACTGTGGCCCTCCTGGGAATCCGGCTCATGGCTATTTTGAGGGAAGAGATTTCAACTTAGGTTCGACCATTACTTATTACTGTGAAGACAGGTAAGTGTATGCAGCCTTTCAAATGTGAGATCGTGGGGCGCCTGGGTGGCTCAGTCAGTGAAGCATCTGATTTCAGCTCAGGTCATGATCTCACAGTTTGTGAGGTTGAGCCCCAGGGCGGACCCTGTGCTCTGAGTCTCTCTCTCCCTCTCTTTCTTCCCCTCCCCTGCTTGCGCACGTTCTCTCTCTCTCTCTCTTTCTCTCTCTCACTCCCCCCCAAAATAAATAAATAAAAATTTAAAAAAATTATTAAAAAAAAACCCGCAAAGTGAGATCTTGCCCATTGACTGGTAGCTTTGTTGTGGGGAGTGACCCAGCCTGTGTCACCTCGTGCCCTGACTTCCTACTGCTTCAGGAGTCTGAGCTCATTCTGACGAGAGCTGCTTTGGCCACTGCCAGCTGTCCCCAATCTCTAAAAGATAGACTCATGTCTTTATCCTAAAGTATTTAGTGTATTTATCCTAAAGTATTACATTTTTTTTCTCTTAGTTGAGACGGGGGCATCTGGGTGGCTTGGTGGGTTGAGCGTCCGATGCTCGATTTCAGCTCAGGTCATGATCCCAGGGTCATGGCCTCGAGCCCCATGTTGGTCTCTGGGCTAAGCATGGAGCCTGCTTGGGATTCTCATTTGCCCCCTCTCTCGGCCCCTCCCCTACTTGTGCACACACTCTGTCTCAAATAAAAAAAAAAAAAAAAGACAAGAGAAGATATTTAAAATGTATGTTTTTTTCTAAAGACTCTCAGCACAAAAACTCAAAGAAACACAGAACACATGGAGGTAAAGAAAGAGAATGATTTATTGTCCCAGCTTGCCACCCCCCCCCAATCTGGTTTCCTATTTGCAGTTCTTTGAATTAAAAAATATAGGGGCGCCTGGGTGGCACAGTCGGTTGAGCGTCCGACTTCAGCCGGGTCACGATCTCGCGGTCCGTGAGTTCGAGCCCCGCGTCGGGCTCTGGGCTGATGGCTCAGAGCCTGGAGCCTGTTTCCGATTCTGTGTCTCCCTCTCTCTCTGCCCCTCCCCCGTTCATGCTCTGTCTCTCTCTATCCCAAAAATAAATAAACGTTGAAAAAAAAATTAAAAAAAAAATTTAAAAATATAAATCCTTTTAAAAAAAAAAAGAAAAAGAAAGAGAATGATTTATAGAGCTTTAATACATCCTAATTAAATTCTAACCTTAATTTAGACTACCTCATCCTCTAGCTTACAGATGACCTACTCTTTCCTTGGCCTCAACCTTCTTAACTCGGGGTCGTGTTGCTTCACTAGCATTTCTGTCTCATTATAAACTTCCAGTGGGCATGTTTTTTTTCTGATTAAAAGCTGTATCTCCTTCCTAAGATTTATTTGAGGATTTTCTCTAGCTTTCCACTCCTTTTTAGAGAGTAGATGACAGATTTTTTTTAAGTTATTGAATGATGAACACTTCGTCCCTCACCCTCTCCACCCGACAACTGTGTGTGAACACACGTATTCAGATCTCACTGGTCCATGTTTTACAGATTGAATTATCACTTGGGTCCTCTCCACCCCCAAAAGGAGAGTGACTTTAGTTGATGGCTGCTTTGTAATACCGAAATAACTTAAGCATTTATTAAGGCTCGGGGAGGTGGATCCTATCACCATATGAAATGCGGAAAACAACTATACAAAACCAATCTTAGTTGGCTGCCTTAGCCCAGATCAGAGGTGGAAAGGTTAAGTGTTGTTGCCATTCTAATGTCTGTTCAGGTACCACTTGGTGGGCACGCGGGACCAACGGTGCGTTGATGGGGAGTGGAGCAGTGCACTTCCAGTCTGTGAGTTGATCCAAGAAGCTCCCAAACCAATTCCACAGACTAAGTTTGAACGGGTGCTTGTAAGTGGTAGGCTTTTGTCTGTCTTGTTCACAGTTGTATCTCCTGGCACATGCTCAGTAAATATCTGTTCACTGTGGGATGTTTTTGAAGAGTTGGCCTTGGCCCGATTGTAGAAGAGGGATCATAAGGTATTAATTCGTAGTTTTACGTGAGAAGTTCTCATTCACCACCATCATCACAAACACCTCATGAGGACGTGTTGGTAAGAGTTACTGTCTCGTGGACTTTATGGAGCGAGTTTTATATACTCATGTCTTAGACTTGTATGTATTGCTGTAAAAAGTCTCTGAAATTCTTCTAGATTTTAAAAAACCCTGAACAGATCAATTTTCATTGAGATCCCTTTTATAGATCCCTCTTTTTTTTTTTTTTATTACTGGGATAACAATGAGTATACATAAGCTAGAAAAATTTAAGTGATTCATCACGTTGAATACCCAGATCAGGGACCTAAACGCTACGCATTAGCTTCGGAGTATATGGCTTCAGAGAATCTCAGTTCTTAAGCTGTAACTTACTTAAAAAAAAAAAAAATTTCTTTTTCAGCTTGCCTTTCAGGAGACGAAAGACCTTTGCAAAGCCATGCGGAACTTTATGAAAAGACTCACGGAAAATTCCTTAACGATGGAGGAACTAAAATATTTTCTGGAAATTCAGAAAGCCAAGCTGCAGCCAAAAAATGATGCCCTGACATTATAGCTGAGCAAGCTGGGTCATAGAAAAGCACCCTATGAATAAACCTTCTTCTTGGTTCTAAAGCCGGTTTCAGATTTTTCTCTCATTAGACTGAAACACAGCTTCACTGTACAGTAACCAACTGTAGTTGCATAAAGCACCTTGCGTGTGTGTGTGTGTGAGAGAGAGAGAGAGACAGAGACAGAGACAGAGGCAGAGAGAGAGTATGTGACAGTGTGAGCGGGTGTGTGCTGCTCTTACGTGGTGGTTGTGTGTTTAAGACTAGAATTTCGCAGCACATCAATGGGGAGTGAAGGATTTGATTTCCAGTCCGCTAGGAGAATGGGAAGCTCAGATCCCAGCGGGGGACACCTCATAGTTTAATGAGACGCAAATGGTGAGGCACAAAATAACCTCAAATTAACCAACACTTATGAGGCAAAAATTAACCTCTCAATTTGAGAAAACAGACTCCGAATAATTATATCCTCAAAACGACCTATTGAGACAAAAGTAGAGTTAGTACCTAACCTGCGTCTTCTGAGCCTCCCCTATATCCTGTTTACGGAACCACGTTTCTGAATCTTCTGCAGTAATATTGCTTACCACATTTAGATGAAACCCAGCCCGGCATCGGAAACTTGAGATGGTGAAAAATAAGTGAACGTATTTTCTTCTCCTTTTTTTCTTTTTTTTTTTTTTTGAGGGCAGAATAAGCAAGAATCCTAAGGTTTTCTTACCAAGATGTCATACTGCCATGCTATGACAAACGTCTCCCATCTCTCACTTTGTTCTCTTCCAAAACACATAGGAAACCTGGATAAAATACAAAGAAAACGCCTAAGAGAGCTTGAACTAATGGAACATCCCTCGGTGTAGTTATGAAGGAGAGTAAGACCTCGGAATAAGAAACTCTCAAGTAGCCTGCAGTCTATTAATAGACACAAGACGATAGACGCATATCATCCATTCAGGGTGGTTAGAATGTAATAAACACTTTTCACAGAAGAATGTGCCATGGGAGCTCAGCTTCCAGGAGGAGGCCTCCTGTCTGGGAGGAAGTGGAGGCAGGAAAATTGTTAAGAAAAGTCACAGTTAGTTGGGCCTTTAAAAGTGAGTAGGATTGGGGGGCCTGGGTGGCTCCGTTGGTTAAGCATCCAACTCTTGATCTCAGCTCAGGTCGTGACCCCAGGGTCGTGAGATCGAGATTAAGACTCTCTCCCTCCCCCTCTCCCCAACTCGCACACACACTCTCTCTCTCAAAATAAATACTTTTTTTTTTAAAAAAAACTGAGGAGGATTGAGAGATGAAAATTAAGGAAGGGGACGTGGCAAGTTGAAAGAAGATTTGGGAAATATAGCAAGAGAGTCGTAAAGAGTCTTAAGCTTCTGAACCAAGTAAACCCACTCCTCAGATTAGTCTAACTCGGGCAAAATGATTTTTTAATTTGAAGCCGCTCATTCTGTTATTGCTTATTTTGTCTATACTAGTGAGACCTTGTGAACACCTGAAATGTCAAATCTTAGGAAAATGTTTTAGTGAGTTATGGCATACCAAATGTAACGCAAGCTTCGATGGTGTTATGATCAGAAAATCTTAAAAATATAATCCTAAGTAAAAGTAGAATACATAATATTAAGTACTTATGGTCGCATTTATGTAAAACCTTTATTTTTGTAGAGAAGGTCCAGGCGATAGCAAGGCACAAATGAAAACAGTTGTCCTAGGATAATGAACTTGCAGATGTTGATTCTTTGAAAGTTCTTTCATGTCTTAAATTGATTTTCCCCCCTCTGCCCCCTCCCCCATTTGTGTGTGCTCTCTCTCTCTCTCTCTAAAAGAAAGAAAGAAAGAAGGAAGAAAGAAAGAAAAGTAAAGAAAGAAAGAAAGAAAAAGAAAGAAAGAAAGTTTCTAATAATGATTTTTTAAAAATGTTGTGCAGAGGCAGGAAGGATGGGTCATGTCTAGGGGACAGCACATGGCCTGGATTGGCCTGGATAAAGCATGGGGAGTGATGAGAAAGAAGGCTGGAAAGATACATTAAAGCCCGTTTATGGAGGCTTTTAAAGAGCATGCTAGAGAATTTGACGTCTATTTGATAGGCAGTGAGAAGAGATAGAAGGCTTTCTTTTTTTTTTTTTAAATAATAAAGTGCATTTATTTAAGTGTTCAACTTGATGAGTTTTTTTTTTATTATATGAAATTTATTGTCAAATTAGTTTCCGAGATAGAAGGCTTTCAAGAAAAGAAGTGATAGGGACCGAACACAGATTTCTCTCGTGACAGTATGTAGTATATACAGGTCGAAGTAGGAAAAGAACAGAGGCAGAGAAACCACATAAAGGGCTGCTGGAGAAGACAATGGTGATCTGAACTGGGTGGTGGCAGAAATAGAAAGAGAAAACTAGACATGGGAGAACTGGAAAATCAAAAACAACTCATCAAACTTCTTGACTCATCAAACATTGGAGGATGAGGGAGAGGCAGGGTTTAAAGCTGAGTTTGAAATTCCATTCCTGGAAGCCTGGATTGATCTTGGGGTCAGAAGGTGAGGCTTCTGGACAGGAAATGAGTAGTTCCCTTTGGATGTGCTAGTGTAATGTGTTTGTAAGATGTCCACTAGGCAACAAAAACTGTCAGTCTGCCTTTAGGAGAGTAATCAGGTATAAAGAGGTGGTTGTGGGGGCGCCTGGGTGGCTCAGTCGGTTAAGCGTCTGACTTCGGCTCAGGTCATGATCTCACCGTTTGTGAGTTCGAGCCCTGCGTCCGGCTCTGTGCTGACAGCTTGGAGCCTGGAGCCTGCTTTGGATTCTGTGTCTCGCTCTCTCTCTCTGCCCCTCCCCTGCTCATGCTCTGTATCTCTCTGTCTCAAAATAAATAAATAAATAAAAAGAGGTAGTTGTGGGGGTAGTTCTCTTACAGGGAAGAGTTAAAGCTATGACAGCAGGTACAATAATGAAATATATGGAGAGAAAGATTTTTGAAAAGGAGAACCTGGGACATACCTATATTTGGGGATGAGAAAGAGAAAAGGAGGTAAGAAGAACGAAGCATTTAGTAAGAGAGAGGAATCAAGAAAGTTTAGGGCGATGGAAGCCAAAGGAGAAGTGTTTCAGAAAGGAGATTAGCAGCAGGATTGGGGGCTGCCAAGAAATCGTGACATGAGTTAAAAAAAATTTGAATTTGGAGATAAGGACATGCCTGAAAGAGCTGTGTCCACAAGTGTGGGAAGAAGTCAGGTTGGAAGGCCACAACGGGAGGGCCAGGGAGGGACTAACAAGAAAGAGCAGGCAGGAAACACAGGAGACCTGGGGAGTTAAGTATCTCATGACAGAAGATCAATGGAATTTGAGGTTTTTGCAAGATTTGGGGAATATTTCAGGATGAAAGTCACCTCGAAAATGAGAAAAAGAGCAAAAGAGATCTCTTCTGAAACAAGAGTGAATAGGAGAGAAAATCTGAGGTGGGGAGAAGCTGAGGAACGATTGTGTGGTAGAGTAGGAGGCAATATCGCCTGCTGAGAGGAAGACCATTTGGTGACTTGGAGAGAAAAATTTGGAGCAGTCACTGTGGAGAGTAAGGAAAAGCACTCCAAGAGATTGGGAAATGGTATTTTGAAGATTCCCCTTGAAAGGTGGTATTTCCTTCGACTTAGCTCTCAAGACCTGGCACAATCTGGAATCCTCCTCTACTCTCATTTCGGTCGGTCAACAAATCTGTCTCACCCTGTGACCTGGTTATATTCTCTTAACCTCTAATAGCGTTCTCAGTTTCATCTAATATTTCCACTTTTCATTCAAAGCCCAGCTCAAATCTCCTACCTCTGTCAAAGCTTCTATGGTGGTTCGACTCCATCTTTTCTGAGACCTTCATGAGACTCTTGGTGTTTATGACCGAAAAAGGGAAGTTATCGGGAAAAATTGCTCTTTAATAGCAATCTCCTGAGCACACAAATCTTAATCCTGAGGATTAAAACGTTAATTAGATAATGTCAGAGTTTGGGGTTCTTCCTAGATCTGTATGATCACCAGCATGCTGGCCCTTCATTGCATTTCTCTGAGCAGCGCTCAATAATTGACCAACTTCTGGAAGTCATCTGGTGACCAGCACGCTGTAGTAGCTGTGGGGGTAGTCGTTAATTAACACGTATTGAGTGCTGATTTGTTCCAGGCAAGTGAATTTGTTAACCGCCCCCCCCCCCCCCCCCGCCATTTTACCATCTTGGGGTGGAATGAACACCTGCAGAGGGTAAAGTCACCAGTCCCTGAGCCCCAGGAGGGCCTGCTGGACCTACCATCATGGGAAGTGGATCATTTTCGTGGACCTAGTCTCAACCCTACAGTATCTGAGTTTTCTAGGCTAGCTGGAGTGCACTGTGGATGTCTGTCTTGCGTTTATGAAAAGAAAAAAAGAATTCTGGCATCAAATTCATATTATCTTTCCACTTAGGGGAAATGGTTGGCGGAGGAGCAAACAAGTGATTGCAACATGTTATCAAGGATGAGGGTTGGTGCAGAGGAAGAGGGTTAGGTAAACACCAGTGCTTTATTTCCGTTAATCATTCACGAGGCTGGTAGAAAGTCTCTCCCCATCCACTACAATTCAGCCATCCCTGACCAGTCAACTACAGGGCTGAATTCAGGGACTTTTTGGTGGTGCAATTACCAGCTAGCTTCAGGGTAGTCTGGTAAACTCTGATCTGGGGAGGAAGTAAAACTATTAGAGATCCAGACGTTTTTCTCCCTTGAGAAACAACCTGAGGCACCACGACAGAGTCTTCTGCGTCTTCCTCAGCTACCCGCAGGTCAGTGGATTATTTGGGGTACCTTGGGGAAAAGGCTGGTGGTTCGGCCCTTTAAGGAGGACAAGATTAGAAAGATCACATAAACACTTGGGGGTATTTGCAGCAGAAATCTTTCCAGAAGTTTTTAGGAGGTTATGTGATTTCACAAGTACTTTTAATCCCTCTGAGCCTCAATGTTTTT